TCGGAAGAGGAGAGAGAGATCAGACACAATGGATATATTACGAAATATATATCTCGTATATCCCGCAAGTTGTCTACGCTATTTAATAAATGCACCATGTTATTTATCACCGCCAATATATGAACGATTTATAATTAATTATTAATTAATTTCAAAACTAGTTCGCCGACCCGTAAATTGTGGATTAATGTAAATTAGCGTACAATTCCAATGTGCACGAGAGATTAAGCATGCATCTGCGCGAATCTCTCTCTCTCTCTCTAACCGGAATTAAATTTTAAACCACGCTTTATATAAATGCACGAGAAACTTGTTTGCTTGAAGATCGAATTATCCGCAAAGTATTCCGCTCTTTAAATATATACGTAAACCTTAATATTTTTAAATTTAAATTTTACATTATATGTATATATATATATATATATATGAATTAGTTTCAGTTTATCAATTTCATTAACGTAGCTTCAAGCGCAAAATAATGTTCGCTTCCTCGGTAGAATACTTGAACGATTGCCAACGACAAAGTTTTTCAATATAACTTTCTCCTTTGCGCTTACGAGACTGTTGCTTCGCAGTTAGTGAAACGATCGACTTATCGTTTTAAATTTATTTTATAAATTTGCACCTATACAAAATAAAAACCATCTTTTTTGCCGCGTTCTCTCTCTCTCTCTAACCGGAATTAAATTTTAAACCACGCTTTATATAAATGCACGAGAAACTTGTTTGCTTGAAGATCGAATTATCCGCAAAGTATTCCGCTCTTTAAATATATACGTAAACCTTAATATTTTTAAATTTAAATTTTACATTATATGTATGTTTATCAATTTCATTAACGTAGCTTCAAGCGCAAAATAATGTTCGCTTCCTCGGTAGAATACTTGAACGATTGCCAACGACAAAGTTTTTCAATATAACTTTCTCCTTTGCGCTTACGAGACTGTTGCTTCGCAGTTAGTGAAACGATCGACTTATCGTTTTAAATTTATTTTATAAATTTGCACCTATACAAAATAAAAACCATCTTTTTTGCCGTGTAATAAATTACATTTATTTAAGATTATCTTTTAAGCTTCTTTTTATATCTCTTTTTAATTTTTAATTTTGAAAAAATTTTTTCTTGTAGATATCCTGGTAAAATGTTATCCTAGATATGTCCACGAATGTTTAAAAGCACACGCGTCTTCCCTTCCCTTCTTGTTCCTCGTTGCCCGTGTAATTGATGAAACCCGACTCGTCGTCGTCGTCGCGCTGAAGTGGAGAGACGGATTTTCATCTAGCGCCGAGTCGGGAAGAAGAAAAGCGATATCCCTCTGCGGTAGACGGTACACCCCAACGAGAAAAGTTTCTCTGCGTTGCGTTTATTAAAACTATCCTCCCCCTTTCTCCTTTCGCATTGCTGTCTACACAGTAATCGAGACTGATACTATCTCGTCTTTCACATCGAGCCAAAGATTCTTACAAAAATCTCGAATCTGTTTTAAGAAATGCGAAATTGACTTTCGCATCCTAAATCTGCACATTTAGCAGACTTCAACTGTCTTTCGATGACGAAACAATTGCAAAAAAACAAAGACAAATTAAAATATTGATGTAAACTTAAATAAAAGAATATAAAAATAAAATTTATTATTTCATTTTAAGAAATTTTACTAGGAAGAAGAAAAGCGATATCCCTCTGCGGTAGACGGTACACCCCAACGAGAAAAGTTTCTCTGCGTTGCGTTTATTAAAACTATCCTCCCCCTTTCTCCTTTCGCATTGCTGTCTACACAGTAATCGAGACTGATACTATCTCGTCT